TTGAGTTTTACTTTTCTACCTGATTTTAAGATGGTTAAATATACCGAAAGGAACATTGCACTGAGTCAGAAGACGCATTCTGAACCTGACTCACCCCGTTTTGTGCTCTATATCTTCGATTTCCTCATCTTTAAAACAGGCAAAGGAAACCTCTCTCTTTCTGATCCTCAGACTCCTTATAAGGCTCAGATAAATCAATTGCCTTCGGAGTCAATTCAGACTCATGGCGCCCTCAAGTGTGTCAGAGTAGAACTGGGCTCCAGAGGGTTTTCAATGGCTGTTTTTTTGTAAGTTAGATCGCCAGATCTTTCTTCAGAGGAGCTTCTGGGTCAACTCAACCTCCAACCTTTCGATTAGCAGCTGAGCACATTAATCATTTGCACCACCTTCTACCTTGGAAGCTGTAAAACAAAAACTGGGATTCCAATTCATGGCGACCCAGCTGTTACAGAGCAGAACTTTTGCATAGGGTTTTCTTGGCTGTGATCTTTACAGAAGCAGTTCTTTCTTCCCAGGAGCTGGTGGGTGGGTTTGAACCGCCAACCTTTAGGTTAGCATCTGATTATAAATCACTTGCGGGATCCAGGCCCCTTGGAAGTGCAGCATATAAATGTAGCAAGCTTGTCCTCATGCTCACCTTGATTTGGAACTTCAGAAAATGTTGGGGTTGCTTCTATGCAGGGGTTTAATAGCTTCCAGCTGAGGGCGGATGTCAGCCTGAAGTGGAGGACCAGCCCCAAGTATGGGAGCAGAAACAGTCATTTGAAAGCAAATGCTCCCACCTGGTGGAAATGGAAGGTCAGGGGCAAGTGTGGTTAGCAACATGTGATCCTGAGGGGTGACAACAGGTACTGGCTGAAAAGAGAATCGCCTTTTTTAAACGTACGTTTTTTAAACAAGTAACTTGTTTATGTTGTAAAATGTTCTCTTGGAAATACTATATTTGCATATACAGGATATAGGCAAGTACACCAATTACCTATTTGTCTAATTACAGTTAATCAGGCTCTGAAGAGATTTTTAATTCTTTATTTTAATATTCTAATTTTTAATATTTAAATATTCCAGATAAAATAATTCCACAACGCACACAGCATGTTAAGACTACTGACGGGACTATGTAGATATTTGTTTCAGCCGGTGTCATTCAGAGTCGTTATTTATACATAAAGCATACTCGTGGTACCAGAATCTCAAGGCCATCTTGAACATGCCTGTTTACTCTGAGAAAATTGCTTAACGTTTCTGGGTCTCAGTTACCTCATCTGCCAAATAAAGGGACTGAATTGGTGACATCTAAAAAGGTCCTGCAAATTTGCCGAGATAATGCATTTAATTGTTATCCAATGACGGCCATGTTACCAATTAGCCAGGCTTCAGGCTGCTCCCACCAATGCAGTTCTAGAAGATACTCCTTAACTGTGCTGGTGGCAAAACAACTTTATGTCTGTTTTCCCTGCGGGACCTAAAACCGAGTCCCTTCTGTCCCTCCTTTTTCCTGTCCTCTCTAGCTTCTTCACCCCCACCCTTCTTGGCTACCACCTCAAAGGGATGCTTCTCAGGTCACTTTCCTTGGCCACTTCTCCTTTTCTTTCAGCTCGGCCTCCCCCCACATACACCTCCTGTTTATAACACCAACAGTAACAATGGCTGCCATTTACTGCATGTTTTCCCTTTGCAGGCACTGTTCTGGTCAACTGTTTTTCCCAATTCCATGTACTTTTTCTAAACGTTCACACTGCCTAGGTTTCAGCTTCATCTAGAACACTCCACCAGCACCTCAAACCCAGTTAGTCCAAAACTGAACTCAGAACCTGCCCATAGACATTCTTCCACCTGTATTCCCTATTTCAGCTAATCAATCTTACCAGGGTTCTTCCAGTGTCTGAAATCAATTAGCTAAGTTGTTGTTGTTGTTAGGTGCTGTCGAGTTGGTTCCTGACTCATAGCGACCCTATGTACAGCAGAACGAAACACTGCCTGGTCCTGTGCCATCCTCACAATTGTTGCTATGCTTGGGCCATTGTTACAGACACTGTGTCAATCCATCTCATTGAAGGTCTTCCTCTTTTTCACTGACCCTCTACTTTACCAAGCACAATGTCCTTCTCCAGGGACTGGTCCCTCCTGATAACATGTCCAAAGTACGTGAGATGAAGTCTCGCTGTCCTTGCTTCTAACGAGCATTCTGGCTATACTTCTTCCAAGACAGATTTGTTGGTTCTTCTGGCAGTCCATGGTATAGTCAATATTCTTTGCCAACTCCATAATTCAAAGGCATCAATTCTTCGGTCTTCCTTATTCATTGTTCAGCTTTCGCATACATATGAGGCGACTGAAAATACCATGGCTTGGGTCAGGCGCACCTTAATCCTCAAAGTGACATTTTAGCTTTTTAACCCTTTAAAGAGGTCTTTTGCAGCAGATTTGCCCAATATAATACATCATTTGATTCTTGACTGCTGCGTTGGTTGTGGATCTAAGTAAAATGAAACCCTTGACAATGTCAGTATTTTCTCCATTTGTCACGATGTTGTTCATTGGTCCAGTTGTGAGGATTTTTGTTTTCTTCATGTTGAAGTGTAATCCATACTGAAGGCTGTGGTCTTTGATCTTCATCAGTAAGTACTTCAAGTCCTCTTTGCTTTCAGCAAGCAAGGTTGTGACATCTGCATATCACAGGTTGTTAATGAGTCTTCCTCCAATCCTGATGCCACGTTTTTCTTCATGTAGTCCAGTTTCTCAGATTATCTGCTCAGCATACAGATTGAATAAGTATGGTGAAATGATACAACCCTGGCACACACCTTTCCTGATTTTAAACCCCACAGTATCCCCTTGTTCTGTTTGAATGACTGCCTCTTGGTCTATGTACGAGTTCCCCATGAGCACGATTAAGTGTTCTGGAATTTCCATTCTTCACAATGTTATCCACAATTCGTTATGATTCACACAAAACACAATTACCTAAAAGTCATCCCCAAATCTGTCAACTTCAAGTCCTATCAACTCCATCCAAGTCCTGGCAATCAAGTCCTGTCAACTCTATCCCCACTGCCTCTATTCTTTCCACCTGGACCATTGAGCAAACGTTATAATTGGCCTTCTAGTTTCATTTTAACTTGATCGTGTTGCCATCTACTTTTTACTGAGTATGCATTCCAAACTCTTAGGCTAGCCCAGAAGACTAACCATGATCCAGCCCCTTTCTGGACCTGACCATAAATTTCTTAAAGACAGTAACCATATCTCTTTCATCTCTGCATTTAGCACCATGTCTTCATTTTTGCATTTAGCGTAGAACACCAGACACAGTAGCCGTATATGTTAAATAAAGGAATGAATCCAACACTTCTGTCATCATTCAAAGTAGTAGAGAGGACACTATAACCAGGGTAAGAACAAGGAAGTTACTAGGATCATGTTTTTCGGTGCCATTGAGTCGATTCTGACTCACAGCAACCATATGTATAACAGAATGAAACATTGCCCGGTCCTGTGCCATCCTCACAATCGTTATGCTTGAGCCCATTGTTACAGCCACTGTGTCAATCAATCTCGTTGAGGGTCTTCCTCTTTTTCACTGACCCTCTACTTTACCAAGCATGCTGCCCTTCTCCAGGGACTGATTCCTCCTGATAACCCATCCAAAGTATATAAGACAAAGTCTCGCCATCCTTGCTTCTGAGGAGCATTCTGGTTGCACTTCTTCCAAGACAGATTTGTTCATTCTTTTGGCAATCCAAGGTATATTACTACTCTTCATCAACACAATTCAAAGGTGTCAGTTCTTCTTCAGTCTCCCTTATTTATTCATCCTCCAGCTTTCGCATGCATATGAGGCAATTAAAAACACCATGGATTGGGTCAGGCACACCTTAGTCTTCAAAGTGACATCTTTGCTTTTTAACACTTTAAAGAGGTTTTTTGCAGCAGATTTGCTCAATGCAATGCGTCTTGATTTTTTGACTGCTTCTTCCATGGGTGTTGATTGTGGATCCAACTAAAATGAAATCCTTGACAACATTAATCTTTTCTCTGTTTATCATGATGATGCTTAATGGTCCAGTTGTGAGGATTTTTGTTTTCTTCATGTTGAGGTGTAATCCGTACTGAAGGCTGTGGTCTTTGATCTTCATCAGTAAGTGCTTCAAGTCCTCTTCACCTTCAGCAAGCAAAGTTGTGTCATCTGCATAACGAAGGTTTTTAATGAGTCTTCCAACCCTGTTGTCACGTTCTTCTTCATATAGTCCAGCTTCTCAGCTTATTTGCTCAGCACACAGATTGAATAGGTATAGTGAAAGGAAACAACCCTGATACACACCTTTCCTGACTTTAAACCACGCAGTATCCCCTCGTTGTGTTCAAACGACTGCCTCTTGATCTATGTACAGGTTCCTCATGAGCACAGTTAAGTGTTCTGGAATTCCCATTCTTGGCAATGTTATCTATAATTTGTCATGATCCACACCATCAATCACCAGGATCATAGTTTTTAAAACAATACATTTTTCGCTCTAGTGATATAAAGTATCTGTTCTGTAGTTTCTGTCATTAATTTATCTCTGTGGTAATTGAGACCCTACTATAGGTGATGGTACCCTATCACAATCATACTTAACTTTTAAAACTTTATAATACCTTGTACCAGAGAATTATGGTATATTCCTAGGGTCTAGATAAAAGTAAAGATTACTCACTCAAAATTAGACGTTAAAATAATGACCTTAATATAGAACTAACCCTATTATACTTAAGATAACAAATATCCTGAAGCAATACCCGGGGATGTTAGACATTAATTATATAAAAAAAAAAAATCACCCAATTATACATAATTTCATGCTAATCTGAATGATGCCATTTCTCTTTTGGCAGTATCAAATAGAAACACCCCAATAGTTGTGTATAAAAGCCCAAAGAAACCATCAGCGCACAATATTCTGTCCTCCTTTACGTTACAGCTACCCACAGACAAGGCGAACATTTCTCATAAGACCATGTCTCTCCGATTTTCTAGCAGATCCAGGCATATTTGCTTACGATCTGGAACTGGACCTGTCAGACCACCCAGTGGAGTGCAGGCTTTGCAGGCAGCAATGCATGTGGGAGCTCTGCTGCTGGAAGTGGTTTCTCCTGTGCCTTGGGAGGGGGCTTGGGCAGTGCTCCTGGTGGGAGTCATGCTGGTGGTGCCCTTGGAAATGCTGCTCGTGTTGGCTTTGCTGGAAATCAAGGGGGACTCCTCTCTGGGCATGAAAAAGTGACCATGCAGAATCTTAACGACCGCCTGGCATCCTACCTGAATAATGTGCAAGCTCTAGAGGAGGCAAATGCTGAACTAGAGAGAAAAATCAAGGGTTGGTATGAAAAATATGGTCCTGGATCTTGCCGCCGACTTGATCATGACTGTAGCAGATACCTCCTAACCATTGAGGATCTTAAGAATAAGGTGAGAAATCACAAATTTGGAACAATTCAAAATATTAAAAACTAAGAATTACCTAGCCAAAGGCATAGAACTACAACTGGAAATGGTTCATAACTGTTACTTGTCATTTCTATTGAATTGTATTTATTATTTCTTTTGATAAATAGTTCTTCCTATTATTTAAAAATAAGCATTTTGATTTATAAATTTCAATGTAGTTAAAATTTTACTGGCTTAACTGCCCACAAAAAATGTAGAAGTTTGAGTCCACCCTGAGGCACCTCAGAAGAAAGACTTGGCAATCTTTTTTCCAAAAAATCAGCCATTGAAAACCCTACGGAGCACAGTTCTACCCTGACACACGTGGGGTCACCATGAGTCAGAACTGACTTGATGGCAACTGGTAGTATCGTTCCATTTTAAATGTTTATTTCGGAGTATATTCATCGGTAAGAAAGTATTACATTCTAAGAGTTACACGAACAATGTGAGAAGAAATAAAAACCATATCTGTAATTTTTTTAATTACATTTTAAACATCTTGATTGTTACTTGAGGAAGTAAATTTTTTTATCCAAAAGGTTGGTTGTGCGACACTTTTTCTTTCCTAAAATAATAATTGAGAAGAGCAAACTTATTTGTTGTGTTCTCCCTTTTGATTTCTTCTAGATTATCTCTTCCTCTACGGCTAATGCTAATGTCGTCCTGCAGATCGATAACGCCAGAGTGGCTGCTGCTGATTTCCGGCTAAAGTAGGTGGTTGAAAACAGTTGAGCTCTGGAAAAAGTATCCTACCTATTTAATTTGTTAAATAAAATTTCAGTTGTATCTCAAGCAGAATAAACTATAACTTAAAAGATAAAAGGAACAAGGGATGTGTGTTATTATCATCAAGTATACTAAAATTTTCTACATATTTATTACATTCTTGGGCCACAATATCACTGACTTTCTATGCCTGTCTAGAACAATGCCAAGCACAAAGTAGATGCCCAGTAAATATTCGTTGACTAAGTAAAAATGTTGGAGCCCTAGTGGCCTAGTGGTTAAGAGTTTGGCTGCTAACCAAAAGGTCAGCAGTTCAAATCTACCAGCCACTCCTTGGAAACCCTATGGGGCAGTTCTACCCTGTCCTACAGGGTCGCTATGAGTCGAAACCCACTCGACGGCACCTAACAACAACAAGTAAAAAGTTAATTAAAATAAAATCCTCAAATGGTATGTTTTTATTTAGTTGGGATACGCTATTAGAATGTGTGCGACTGAATAACGGCTGGTTATCCTGCACAGAATTGGGCGGGGGTGGAGAACCTTTCTTTGTACATTTTTATTATATTTAGGCCCTAATTCAGTTTCTGACTTTCAGTTCAAAGCAATTGAGATTTTATTTTTCAATTCCTTGAGGTAGTCTAACTCATGCTAAAATTCATTTCATGCCCTGCAAGGTATGAGAACGAGCTCACCCTTCACCAAAGTGTCGATGCCAACATCAATGGGCTCCGGCGAGGCCTGGATGAGCCGACGCTCTGCAGGACCAACCAGGAGCTGCAGTATGAATCCCTGAGTGAGGAGATGACGTATCTCAAGAAGAACCATGAGGAGGTAGGAGAAGCTTTACTTCTAGTCAGATAATAATCCTGTACATCTTAAGTGCTTTTGTTTTTATTACAAAAGTAATTTACGCTATTGTAATAATTCAAACAATGCCAGGGCACATAAAGAATTCCATTTTCTCTCACTCTGCTTCTCTAATCCTATCCCCCAAGTAATAAATACTTACAATTTGATCTGTATCTTTCCATTTTTTTAGACTGATGTAATAATCCATCCATTCTAAAATAATACATTATTTTTGCATTCATACAACTGTAAACCCGTTGCCGTCGAGTCAATTCCAACTCATAGCAACCCTATAGTACAGAGTAGAACTGCCCCATAGGGTTTCCAAGGAGTGGCTGGTAGATTCGAACTACTGATCTTTTGGTTAGCAGCTGTAACTCTTAACCACTGTACCACCAGGGCCCCTTCATACAACCATCTTTCTTTAAACCAGATTATTTCATTCGTAGGGCCATCCTGGGGGTCAACCTTTTCACAAAAGACCTCTCTAACAAGGAAAAGATGTCGATGTACCTTCCACTTAAATCCCTGGGTTTGTTTTAGTGTTTAACTTTGCACAATAATAACCTGATTGCTTGATACTTAATACCAGGCAGATTCACCACCTGCCCCTCAGAAAAGTGATTATCCCAAAAGTAACTCTAAAAAGCCTCCAAAACAATGGATGAGAAACTAAAAACACAAACACACACACTATGGTGTTTATCACAATTTTATATATATATATATAGAGAGAGAGAGAGGGAGAGAGCGCGAGAGAGAGACAGCAAGAGAGAGAGAGAGGGCAAGAGAGAGAGAGAGAGAGAGCGAGAGAGAGAGAGAGAGAGAGAGAGAGACAGAGAGCGCGAGCGCGCTGGTGGCACAGTGGTGAAGACCTACAGCTGCTAACCAAAAAGATCAGTAATTCAAATCCACCAGCCGCTCCTTGGAAACCCTATGGGGCAGTTCTACTCTGCCCTGTAGGGTCGCTATAAGGTGGAATCAATGTGACAGCAACAGGTTTGGGTTTTGGTTACACACACACACACACGCACACATGTGCGCACACACAGGCACACGCACACGCACGCACACACATGCACGCACACATGCAGGCACACACGCAGGCATGCACTGTGACAGGAAGTGCCCCATCATTGGTTGGAGATGACTAGAACATCAAGTCTCCTTGCTCCAAATGAGAAAATGATGGGAGAGGGAAAGAGAAAGAATATTTAAAAGAAAAAAATTAAATACAAGAGAAACAAGGAGAAGGAAGAGAGTCATAGAGCAGAGCTCTAGAAGAGCCGGACCACCAGAGAGTGGAAGCAAGAAAGTGAGAAGCAGAGCCAGGAATTGTAGAAAGGGTAGTGTCAAGAAAAGAAATGGACACCTGGGAAGGAAGAGAAGAAATAGCAACCACAGCACGTCAGCAAGTTGGGGGCATCAGGGTAGCACTAGGATCACACAACAGGATTCACTGTCCCCTTAAAAGACATACCAGTAGAAAGAGGCTACCTTTGAATGCACCGAGGGTAGAGGAAAAGAGTCATTCACATCTCAACATCCCCTGAGAGTATTACATTTTCCACACTCACCGGTGACCAGTGTCCTTACTGATAACTTCAAGTAGTTGATCTTCTAACTTTTATAGCAATACGAATTTTTCTTCAAATTAATCTTACACAAAACTCCAAAACATGGAAATACATTAATCAGTGGTTTCCTCAGGCAATGTAAATCTTCTACTTTCGGTGGACACTGGAAAGCCACTGATCTAGGGTCACAAAAATGGTTTAAGAAAGTAGAGGTACCATGGTAAAAATACATCAGAAACAGTTCAAACGAAAAGGTTAGCTACCGAAAGAACTTAAGTTCAGGTCACTGGTCTGCTTATTTGCCCAGAAATCCATTCTCAGACTAGGTCAGACAGCTTAATGATTTGACCTACGACATATCCTAAAACAGAGAGGTCATAGAGTGTAATTACCAAGAAAAGATGCCCTATAGCTGGAGCGCCCTTGTTCAAACCCTGGCCCTTCCCAATACTAAGTCATTTAGGCCAGTTACTTTATCTCTGTGTGCCTCCATTTCGTAATCTGTAAAATAAATATAATAGTATCTACTTCATGGAGATGTTAAAAGTCTTAAATGAGTTAGTGCATGTAGAGTACGTGTTAGCTGTTGTCTCTAAAATAAAAGCTCCCAGAAGGCTGTATTCCCATCAGCAAGAACTCTACCTGACATGCAGTCAAAAATTGTGTGTTTAGTAACTCTCTGGTCTTTGTATCTCATCCTTATTGAAAAGAATAGAGAACTTCTCTTGGGATGCTGTGACTCCTTATTGTTGTGGTTGTTTTAATTAACAAAGTTGTAACTAAATAGATGATTGGCATGAATATAGATAGAATAAGTCAATCAAAAATTTGTGTGCCATGAGTTGTACACTTGAATGTAAGCCACAAATTTGAGACATAAAGTAACATTTTCGAAAACTCTTCTCAGACTGCATGTGGACATAAAATGCCCTCAAAGACATACTCATGCTCCCCTTTCAGGAAATGAAGGTTATGCAGTGCGCCGCTGGAGGCAACGTGAACGTGGAGATGAACGCGGCCCCAGTGGACCTCATGGTCCTGCTGAACAACATGAGAGCTGAGTATGAAGACCTTGCAGAACAGAACCGCAGGGATGCCGAGGCCTGGTTCAACGAAAAGGTGAAACCAGCCCAGACAGCCCTGCTCATGCCCCTATGGTGGGGACAGATGTCAATTAACCTGTGTATGCCTGGCCTTCCAGAGTGCCACTCTGCAGCAGCGGATCTCGGATGATGCTGACGCAGCCACCTCTGCCAGGAATGAGCTGACAGAAATGAAGCGCAGGCTGCAGACCCTAGAGATCGAGCTGCAGTCGCTCTTGGCAACGGTAGGCAACAGTGTAGCTTGGCTTGAATTTTGTCATTCAAAAAGCCTAAGAGGAAACCCTTCCCCTCCTCCTTTACCTACAAATACTTAACAGCACAGAAGAGAGAAGGAAAGACAGATTCAGAGATGCTCAGTTTCAGAAGGTAGAGGTACCATGGTAAAAATCCATCGAAAACAGTTCAAATGAAAAGGTTAACTACCTCAAGAACTTAAGCTCAGGTCACTGGTCTGCTTATTTGCCCAGAAATCCATTCTCTGACTAGGTCAGACAGCTTAATGATTTGACCCAGGACATAGCCTAAAACAGAGAGGTCATAGAGTGTAATTTACTAAGAGAAGATGCTCTATAGCTGGAATGCCCTCATTCAAAAAGAAACAGAGAAACAGAGCATTTTCTTCCTCCCAGAGATCACTGAGGCGTCCCCGGTGGTGCGAACGCAGTTGGCTGCTACCCGGAAGGTTGGTGATTCAAGTCCACCCAGTGGTACCTTGGAAGAAAGGCCTGGTGATCTACTTAAGAAAAATCAGCCGTTGAAAACCCTATGGAGCACACTTCTACTCTGACCTACAAGAGGTCACCATGACTTGGAATTGACTTGACGGCAACTGGGTAACTGGAGATCACTGAGGATGTCCTTCCTGGCCAGCACCCAGTCGCTTGGTGCTCATTTCATGAAAATAACCAACGCTTCACGTAATTCCTTCTTTAGAGTGGTTCCTCCCAGCCCTGCCAAGCAAGCAGCAGCAGAATTGCATCACCTGAAAATTAAGTGGCAGGCCTACTGCCATGTGGCCACACAGGATAGAGCCAAGGCTCGAACCAGCATCTCCTAATATTTATGAGGACGTATTAAAAGCTATATTGTACTTTCCATCAGACAGCAAAAAAGAGGGTACACATCTCAATCGCAAAAGAGCAGTGTCAGCCTCTTCATCCCGACAGTGTCTGGGGAGAGGTCCAATCCCCACACACTCCATAGAACCTGGCATTCGCAGGCATTCAGATTACTTCAAAGGTTACCATGGAGACAATCCAAGACTAAAATCAGCCTTCCCTTCTGGGGGGTGAGCCGACAGAACCCAGAAAGATTGATTTTGAGGATTATGGCACACAGGTGGCTGAAGTGTGCTCCGTCCTCACAAGAGGTTTCACACTCCCTGAGGAAGCCAGGTTGTAACACAAAGAGAAGAGCGGCTGTTATAGAAATGAATGCAGTAAGACCAGGAGGAAAAGATGACTCAGAACAATCGGAAGATTATTCTTACTTAGCCACCATAAAAAGGTGTAGTGCTTTCTTACTTACTGAACAATATTTAGATTGGAGACTTGTTTTTACCATTGAATGACTCCAACTTAATCTTCTCATCTTTATCTTTACTGCCAGGTGGTACTCGAGGCCCTCCTTGCCACTTCGGGCTCCAGGAACCCTCTTCTTTCCCCCATCCCCTCCTTTCCTGCAACTAAAATCCTAAGGACCCTGTCCCTGCTGCTATAGCCTGAGTATGAATCCTCCTTCTCGCTTCTTAGCTAGGTTGGAGGAAATAAATTCCTGAGATCCCAAATCAGAATTTTAAGCATTTTCACATGGCAACCCCATGTGTGTCAGAGTAGAACTGTGCTCCATGGAATTTCAATGGCTGATTTTTCAGAAGTAGTTCACCAGGCCTTTCTTCTGAGGTACCTCTGGATGGACACAAACTCCCAACCTTTCAGTTAGCAGCCAAGTCTGTTAACCATTTGCACCAACCAGGATTCCACAAGAATATTGGCAACCATAAAAAGGAATGTCATATGAGAATATATCATCAGGGAAATTACAGTTCCCAACTGCCAAGCAGGTACCACATGGGTATGCTGCCTTGGGCCTCTCTTACACTTGTTGCCTCACCTTCCCCGTGGTCATCTTGTTTGCCTTCTACGTCTATACCCTGGAGAGCCAGCAGCACCCAGTACCACCCACGTAATGTCGAAGTTGGTGGTTCTCGGCCCATTAGACCCAATGTCTGCCCTTTATGATGAATATTATATAATTCCCCCTTTACAATCCTAAAGGAGCCCTAGTGGTGCAGTGGTTAAAGCACTTGACTGCTAACCAAGAGGTGAGCAGTTTGAACCCGCCAGCCACTCTGTGGGAAAAAGATGTGGCAGTCTGCTTCCATAAAGATTGCAGCCTTGGAAACACTATGGGGCAGTTCTACTCTGTCCTATAGGCTTGCTGTGAGTCGAAATCCGTTTCAAAATGGGTTTTTGGTTTACAATCCTAGAATGAAATCAATAGTAATATAAATTAGTAATACCCAAAATTTAAAAAAAAAAAAAAACCAGTATAATGCCCTAACTGCAATAAAAAGAAAGAATACAAGGGAAGCATTTTAAAATAAAACGTACATAATGTGTAAGTACTTGGACCCAACTACTCTAGAACATGTAATGAAACAGAAGCTTTCACCTTCTCTTAATAAATAAATTTGATTTTAAACTGTGTAAGATCAGGAGTCACTCCACACAAGAAGTAAAGGAAAATGAAAGAGTCGAAGTGTGGGTGGACACTAAGATAATAACTAATATCAAGAGAAGTAATAACTGCCAGACATATTTATATATGATAAAAGAAAGAGGAAAATTACCTCAGCTGAAGTCAGGATAACGTGCCAAGACAAATTACAGGCTATGGAAGTAGAAATGAGAAGTATAATACTCCTAAGAGTGGTGTCGAGATAATGACCTGTACTGTCTTATGAGATGGTGAATGACAAAGCATCACAGAAAATATACCTCTCGTCTTGAAATCCCACCTGTGTTAAGGCATTCATTGAATCTCAAGTGCTTAAGTAAAAGGCCTTTGGTGGACGGCAGAAAATAGAGGACGGATTCGAAAAAGAAACAGCACAAAAGCCCTCGGAAAAGTGGTGGGGTAGACCTCTGGACAGTAGAAGACTAAGATTGAAAAGCAACAGCAGACATATAATTTCAAAATAGAAGTTTTCCAGGATAGATTTCTTATTATGCTACCCCCTAAAAAATCTTTAATATATTGGTTGGCAATAATATGACATATTACCTAAATATCGTAATTGTCTAGTGGAACAGCCAGAAGTCCCTCGGGAAAAGGGTCACTTGTCCTGCCTGACCAGTGCACATCGGATCATCCAGCATGCCTGACCCCCACCTAGTAAATGCCAGTCATGTCCCTTCCCCTACACACAATTTATTGTGACAAGACCCACAAATATCCGAAGCTCTCCTAGGGAGCAGTGCTGCTGCTCTTTGAGAAACATGGTTCTACACAGTCTGCAAAGGCATTTCACCCCTTATGACATCTTTTGTGTCCACAGAAACACTCCCTGGAGTGCTCCTTGACAGAGACGGAAGGCAACCACTGTGTGCAGCTCGCTCAGATCCAGGCTCAGATCGGGACCCTGGAAGAGCAGCTGGATCGGGTCAGAACCGGGACCGAGGGCCAGAAACTCGAGTATGAGCAGCTCCTCGACATCAAGGTCCATCTGGAGAAGGAGATCGAGACCTATTGCCGCCTAATAGATGGAGATGGAAAGTAAGTACAACCACGTGAAAATTCAGTTTTTACCTATTTTAAACCACAGCCGTATGCTCCCATTTACTCGCCACACCTCCAAGCCTTTTATTTTTCATCCCGACTGCAGAAAAGCATGTCTCTCTCTTGCCTCAGCCGTCACCTCTTTAATCTGTTGTACATCACAGCGTCTTCCTGACCTGTCTTGGGCGGCCACAATAGCCCCTGCAGAAAGCCCCCACTTGTTGTCCACGTTAATTATTGTGGATTTCAAGATTCTCCCCCCAGACTTTATCATCCTTTCAATTCATTGCTAATATCGCCGCCCCCAGTCCCTGGGCGAGTGAAGCACTCAGCTACTAACCAAAAGGTTGGCGGTTTGAAATCACCAAGAGGCACTTCAGAAGAAAGCCCTGGGAATCTACTTCTGAAAGATCACAGACACTGAAAACCCTATGGAGCAGCTCTGCTCTGAAACACATGGGGTCGCCATGAATCAGAATCGACTCAATGGCAGCTGGTTTGATTTTGGTTTTTATTTATTTACTGACGCATAAACTCCCAGGATCCATATATAAATGCATACTTATTTATTTAATCTTTTTAAGCTTTAAATTCCTGGACCCACAGAAATCAAATGGTAACAAGTTTTTTGTTTTTTTTTAAATATTCTCTATTTAAAAAAAAAAAAAATTCTCTATTTAGATTATATTTAATTACTTTCAGCTCCTGCACATAAAATTTTAAATATTTTTCTCTATGAAAAACTAAGATCTCCTTTTTGGCACGCAAAACTCACTTGAGTTCATATTTATCTATTGATGTAATGAATATTTCTTAAGTGATAGGAAAAAGAAATGTAAACGATAAACTTTATTTATTTATTTATTTTACAGTTCATGTTCCAAATCAAAGAGCTTTGGATTAGGACATTCAGGGGATGCATCTAAAGGTAATAAAATCTATTTCTACTGCAGAAAATACTTATATCTTGAGGGCAAACATACACTATATCAACAATCTATATTAAAGTAATTTTAACTAAAGTGTTCTGAACTTAAGCTAATATTTTAAGTGAATAAAACTACCCCAGACTATTATTATAAATCTACATTTTACTCAAATTCATCAAAAATGTATATAATCTATTATATTACCACCAGCAATGGAATTGTCATATAATCTTTTAGGCTGAATATGTCTATTCACATATGTTTTATTTCTAGATTTATCCAAAACCACACTGGTAAAGACAGTGGTTGAAGAGAGAGATCAACGTGGCAAAGTTCTTTCGTCAAGGGTTCACTCTATTGAAGAAAAGACATCCAAAATGACCAATGGCAAGATAGAACAAAGGATTCCTTTTTAGATGTCTTTTCAGGGCAAAAAAAAAAAAAAATGGGGGGAAGGATCCTGCACAGCTGCATTATTACAAATTATCAAGCAGGGCAAAAACACTTTCTAGTCTTAAAGATGTTACTTAGCAAAAAGTGTCTATTCTCCTAGTTAATTTTCCAAAATGTCGGGTGTTTGTTTCCAAATAAATAAAATTGCTGTTCACTCCTTTCCATTCACTTGTCACTAAATAAATAATACTTTGTAATTTTTTTTTCTATGTCTAATTAAAAGGAGCCCTGGTGGCACAATGGTTAAGTGCTCAACTGCTAATCTAAACCAGCAGCCGCTCCACAGGAGAGGAAGACCTGGCAATCTGCTTCTGTAACGATTACAGCCTTGGAAACCCTATGGGGCAGTTCTACTCTGTCCTATAGGGTCACTGGGAGTTGGAATCACCTCAACGGCAAACAACAACAAAATGATAGGGAGAAATTTATGGAATATATCTTAACTGCTTGTCACTCTGGTTTCAATAATAGGCAATTCCGCATGGAATATAATGACACTTAAATAGTAAACATTCACTAGGCATAATCTTTAAATCATACTATGTCTGCATGGAAGGTGCCCTGGTGGCACAGAGGTTAAGAGCTTGGCTGCTAACCAAAAGTTTGGCCATCTGAGCCTTGGAAACTCTATGGGGCAGTTCTGTTCTGTCATATTGAGTCACTATGAGTCAGAATCCACTCCATGGCAACAAGTCTGGGTTTTTGGTGTATGTCTGCATAGGTAGATAATCTGGAAAAGTTCAGAAGTTCTCCTATGACTGAATAGTTCCACCGCTAAGTGGCACTTTCCTAGGATTTTCGCCTATGAGCCTATCTCTAAATCTCCTGGGGGTCCGGATACTTCCCAGGATACCATTACCATATAAACATGATGATCTCTGGAAAGATCCACAACAATAAGCCTCATGTTAATGGCTTTTTTCCTAGAGCAGGGGTCAGCAAGTGTCTTTCTGTGAAAGGCCAGATAATAAATATTTTAGGATTTGCAGGTCATATGGTTTCTGTTGCAACTATTCAACTTAGCCATAAACCAAAACCTGTTGCTGTTGAGATGATTCTGACTCATAGTGACCCTATAGGACAGCGTAGAACTGCCCCATAGGGTTTTTAAGGCTGTAAATCTTTACAGAAACAGACTGCCACATCTTTCTCCCACTGAGCGATTGGTGGGTTGGAACCAATGACCTTTCAGTTAGCAGCTGAGCACTTAATCACTGCACCACCAAAACCCAAAACCCATTGCCATCAAGTCAATAGTGACCCTGTAGAACCAAGTAGAACCGCCCCATAGGGTTTCCAAGGTAGTAAATCATTACAGAAGTAGACTGCTACATCCTTCTCCCAGGGAGAAGCTGGTGGGTTGGAACCGCCAACCTTTCAGTTAGCAGTCAAGTGCTTAAGCACTGAGCCACTAGGCTTCCTATGGCACCACCAAAAAAAAAAAACAAACCCGCTGGCCTCAAGTCAACTCCAACTCATAGCAACCCTATCAGACAGAGTAGAAATGCCCCATACGGTTTCCAAGGAGTGGCTACTGGGTTCGAACTGCTGACCTTTTGGTTAGCAGCTGAATAATTAACCACTGCACCACCCAAAACCAAAAAAACCAAACCCATCGCCGTGGAGTCAATTCCCACTCATAGCGACCCCATAGGACAGAGTAGAACTGCCCCATACTGGTTTCTAAGGAGCGCCTGGTGGGGTCCAGCTGCAGAACCTTTTGGTTAGCAGCTGTAGCTGTTAACCACTATGCCACTAGGGTCTCCTTAACTCAGCCATAGACACTACCTAAATGAATTATAATGACCATGTTCCAATAAAATTTTATTTATGGACACTGAAATTTGAACTGCAAATAATTGTAGGTGTTATGAAATATTAGTCTTCTTTCAATTTTTTTCAAGCATTCAAAAATGTAAATACCATTCTTAGCTCTTAGCTCACAGGTTGTACAAATAGAGGTGGCAGACTGGATATGTGTGGGGATATATGCCATTTAAACATGGCTGCACTATTGACAACTGCAGCCCCCACAGGCCTCTATGCTGCACAGCATGTTGAGACCTGGCTCCAACATGTCAAGACTTGTCCGGATGTGTTTTCCCAAACCTATTGTCTCTTTACTGATTAACTTGTTTACCTGAATTCCTTCTCCCTTGCCCACTCCCAAAGCCCATTGTTATGTTAATTGCTTTATCCCTTGCTGTATTGACTATAAAATAAACTCATGGGACTGAAGTGGGGGTCGACTCCTCAGAGTGACATTCCTGGCCCCACTTCTCTGTAAGGGTTGTGTAGTTGGTTACTGTCTTCGCCGTCCCGATTACCGTCGCAGCTGCGACAGATATGGCCCACCAACCCCTGTTCTAGAACTTAAAATCTCATGAGGTTGATAAGCATTATGGTTATTGTGTCTTTCTACCTTTCTGGATCAAAACTTATGGTTGGAATTCCTAACAAATACTAAAGTACCTAAAAGAAGAGCATTTCTTTTCTCTCTTATGTGGTATGATTCCAATGAAAAGCCCCAGCAAGGGAAGGACTTCAGCCAACAGTCATGTGGGAGTTCAAGGAATCGTAAATGATGAGATAATCATAGGACTTGAGCCAAGGTTATCAAATAAACAAATACTACTAATTCATAGGGAAATAACTTCCCAAATGTGCAATGTACAGGACCAGCTACATAATTACCACATGAAAATGTGGAGTCCTTTGTTCAAAAATCAGGAAAAAGGTTTTGTTAAAGGTACTACAGTATAAACCTTTTTCCTTCCTTCTGTAGTCACTTTCTTGAGTTATGGTGTTTCTTTTATTTGCTATTTAATGCTGTTCTAACTAAAGAAATTAAAATTTTAAGTTATTGGCATGAATTTTAATTTGTTTTTTGTATAATGCAATGCCAGTTTTAAATGCAAATATAAGAATGTTTCATGTGTATACAGAATCACTAAAATTACACAGTTTGTATTTCATAGTTCATCATGCTATTTTTGTTAGCATTTTGTTCTTACCAAAACAGTGGAAATGCTGCACAAAACAAACTCAGCTGTTTTTAGTCTACTTCTGTACATGCACACTGAAAGGGAAAGGAACTCTAGCTTGCCCTATCTTTCCCTTTCTTTCTATATCATTATTTTCAGCATAGTAGTTGGACAATAGAGGGAAATAACACAAGTAAGAGGAGTCCTGAGTAGTACAAATGGTTAAAACACTCAGGTGCTTACTGAAAGGTTGGAGGTTCAAGTCCATGCAGAGGGGCCTCAGAAGAAAGGCCTGGTAGATTTACTTCCAAAAGATCACAGCCATTGAAGCACAATTCTACTGTGACACACGTGGAGTCTCCATGAGTCAGAACTGGTAACTGGTAACACAAGCAAGGAAGTATATGATGGGTTCCTCAGTCATACATGTTTCTTAGAACACCACTGTCTTCATTCTGCATTCAAAGCAAGTCGTGGTTTGGATGGAAAACCTGACCTCTGTTTTATGGTATTCTATTTTTATTTCGAATATGCAGTATTTTGGTTATTTCTACGAGCATTATTTATATGTAGTTTCTTTTCTGAAGAGTTCCTCAGCTTCTTTTATCGTCTGTTTCCTCAAAGGGCTATTTTTGGCTTTTTCTTTGAGTCTCTGTCTTGCATTTTGGAGTTGTTTTTCAATCTATGGTGATCTTTGAAATTCTGTTCCTCTTCAAGAGTCAGCCCTTAAACATTTGGAAGCTCTGTGGGGGGGGGGGTGTATTTCACTCTAGGGTGTGCTGAGCTTCTTTTATAGGCAGTACTCAAATATTCATATCTGGAGGTCTTTTCTCTAGGATTCTCTAGCTTCCCAGAGAAGGACTTCACCATCAAGGCTGGCTACATAATTTGGAGGGCCTAGTGCAAAATAGAAAATGTGGGGCCCCTTGTTCAAGAATCAGGAACAAGCTTAAAGATACTAAAGTATAAAGCTTTTTCCTTTAAGAATATCTTATTACGAGAGTTCCGGAAAAATGGCACTCTAGGCAGAAGCACCATGCCGTCCCTCCACAACAAAGATCCGAAAAACTAAGCCAAACAGAGAATACAACAATCCTAAACCCTAAAACATCAAATGAAGAGATAAAGAACTCAGCCAAGCACCAAATGGAGTGATAAAACTGACAGAGAACGGAGAGTGAGGAGAGATTCATGCA